TCTATATGATGGACCGATCTTTATTACTATAATTGACATAGTTTTAGGCGGAAAAATATTTTCATCTATATTTAGCATATAATCAGCCTTTATCTATTAGCAAATTTCATATATAAACATTAATTATTTTTTGTTTACTCATTGACAATATTCATTAGTTATAAATTGAAATAGAATATTGATTGATTACATATATTTTCAATAAGATCCTAATATTTATTTCGTAGTAATTTTTTGACATAATTAAAAAAACTATTCAAATCATGAAATATTGATTTGATTAATTATATTATCATCTTATGGTTGTAGATATTAATTTTCTTAATTATTTTAAACGTTCAAAAGCACTTAAATATCTAACAAGTCACCAGAATAAATATGTTTGAAATTTTGAATCATATTAACTTAATGAATAGTTTACAATAATAAAAAAATTTGTTAACATATAGTCAACATAACCATTAAAAAATTTATCTCCTTCGAATATATTATTTTATTAGATATACTATTGAAAATTAAATTTAATATATTAGTAAAAGTATTATTTGATGGTCGAGTGAAATTAATAATTATAAGTTTACATTAGAAATATCTATATACATAAAAAAATCAATTAAGTTGTAAAAAACGTATATTTCTTATTATATATTATTTGATAAAAAAATGAGTAAATATGATAATATAGTTAAATATCATAATTAAAATTATAGAATTTGATAATAATCGAAATATATAATTTATCTAAACATTTAAATTGGATATTAATACACTCATTATATATGATGAATAAATTTACTACATATATAACTATAGACGAAAAATTTAAAAATAAAAATAAATAGTTTACTATGAAAAAATTTGTTGCATAAGCAATTGAAGTTACTACAATTTAAATCTAATTATCAAACAATTAATATTTCATCATCTAAATTATAATAACAGAAAAAAAAAATTTACAGGTTATAACATTATTTAGCTATCGACCAATATGCAAAATATGAATTGTTGAAAAAGTTATAAGATTAAGATAATCAGTAATTTTACAAGTTATATAAACAATTTGTATACAAACATCATATTTAAAATCTAGATATTGATACAATTATAAACTTATAAATTGCAATATTTAGATATTAAATAATCAAAACATGTACAAATAAATTAAAAAAGATTTTCAAACAAAATTTTTAATTATTACTGACTTGATATATTGAGTCGGATATAATTACCATGTTGTCTAAAATAAATTAACAATATTTGAATAATAAAATATTAATTTATAGTATACCCCGTGCATCGCACGGGCATCAACACTAGTTATAATAAAGAGTATCTCCAATATTCCAATGTACATTTTGTGTTTACGGCAAAAAAAATTGTGTTCTCAATATAAATAATATTAATTGTCGTATTATTATTTGTGATGTGTAAAATCGTAATTAGGTGTAAAAGAGTGACAATTTGAATAAATAATATAATATATAATAAAGGTGGTTTATTATGACTTTTAGAAAATCTTCTAGACATTTTTAATGCAACATAGGATTATTTGTCTCATGTTGTAACAAATAACGCAATGGAAAGGCCATTAGAGATGACCTAATTGGTTACTTGTCGTCCGGTGAACTATATACCTATTTTCTATTGGTACATTATAAATGGTTGATATCTTTTACACCGCGATATATACATGCATTTTATCTTACACACTTTTCCTTCGAAAAATACTTATTTTTCATTCCACAACTCACTAAAATGATATACGATGTAATAATCACGTATCCAAATAAATCGCATAATTAACAATTATTCTTTAACTTATTTTTTTCATTTATTACCTTAGGGCCATTATAGGTAGCTACCAGCCTTTGCATCTCTCCACTTCAACTTTTGTTATCCTTTTTCTAAACTCACCATCTTCTCTTCCACCTCTTCTCGAGGTTACTCTGTTTATCTAATCCTTTGATGCCTGACTTGGAAGGAATAGCCTCCTGCTGACTTTGCTTTCTCGTTAATCTGCTTTCTTGTATTGACGCTCTTTTCCAAACCTTCCCTTTTGATTTTTTCCTCTCTAAAGTTTTATCCCTGGTTCCAGGTGCAAATGTTCACCTTTTTGCTTCATTTTTATCTCTTCTGTATCCATAGGTGCAATTTTGCCTTTTCTCAGTTCAAGTATTTATAGCTCCCCCAAAGTACTAACAAATAAACAAATAGGAGAATTCTTCAGCAGAAATTTTTTGCGTGCAGGATGTTATGGGCCTGCTTCCCGTGGGGTCTCTGGTGTAGATCTCTGCCTCATCACAACATCAAGGCTCAACAATTTCTACTAACTCACTTGGTTTCGACTACCAAGTGAAGGACTGAATCTTTTTCAGAGGGACTTGGGTGAAGATTTTGAGATGGAGTTGGAGATTCAGTAGACTGGCTGGCTGGATTGCTCAATTTGTTAGATCTAAAGTCAAAGCTCCCTTCATTTTCTTTCAATCACACTCTATATCGTTCCTCTTGCAGATTTTCCTTTCAAATATCCAACAATATTTTCTCACGTAATCTATCCAAATGTAATATCTTCCAACACTAATAACAAAGATTAACCAGCTTTTCGTACTGGAAAGTCACCACAATTTGATGACTTTGAAGTTTCATATTTGCACATCTTGGTAGAGGCTATGTGGTGTCCACTGAAACCAGAAGTCGAATAAAGCTACCCCTATGTCCACCCGCTTAAATCCCAACAACATTTTTGACCTTCTTGAATATTTTATATTTTAACTCCTAATTCATCGTACACAACCAATTTAGAGGCATATTATTCACCCGGACCCACAAACTAATCTCGTTGAATCCTGGATGTTTCTCGTTCATCCCCTCTTCCCATTCATGTAGGGCCAAGTATTGATTTTTAAAAATTCAATAAATACCCGATGGCGCATTTTTATTGTCTTCAAGATTTCAAAAGATAAATTGGAAGAAATTTAATCTTGACTCTTGGACCTCTACCTAATTATTTATTTGCCAAATGAGCCCCATAGTTCTCTTGATGTCTAATTACGATCTCCAATAGCTTTACCAAAAAGACTTTTGTTACATTCCTCTTCACTTGCCCGTATAACTTCCGGGAAATGTTAAAGTCCTGTTACGGAACCAACCCGTCGGGGTTTGTAACCGTTAGATCATCATATAACCGTCAATGATAGTTGATCTAACGGTTACAACCCCGACGGAATGGTTCCTTAAGGGGACCGTAGCATCTTCCATAACTTCCTCTTCTATTTCTATCACATTGTTTTCCAATTTAAACACAACAATATTCTTCAGCCCACTCCGCAACTCCTTTGCTAAACTAGCAGAACTAGTGGTACCTTCCGAATTGAAGTCCCTTAGCAAGCCTGTAAAGAACAAAATAAGAAAAGACCAACAAAAAGGGAACCATTTAACTTCCATTTTTTAACTTTGTATTGTTATTGATGAAAGAAAAAATATTTCTCCCCAT